TCTGGTATCAAATCTTTTTATTCTCTAGGTTCCAAAGTTACCTTCTGTAGCAAGGGAAGCAACAGTGGTACAGCTGTTTGTGCATTAATACAGAGGAAGTTATCTAGTGGATTAAATTTAATTATCTGGATTAAATTTAATTTCAGAGCAGAGTTCGAAACGTATCAGAGTTATGGTTTGTGTGCACATGTGATGGTGTTAAATCTTATGGGTTTTTTTGTCTTCTGAAGTTTTGGCTGTGTTTGATCTGGAATGGGAAAATAGGGTCCATTCCAGTTTGGAAAGAAACCCAGAACCCAAATTATACGAGTAAACTCACATCAAGAGTCTGAAATGCCCCCAAATGCCCCCTTACTCTTCTCTTTCTGAGAATGGAAAGTTTGACTGTCAGATGGGACTGGGGAAGAAAGATGTCTCCAGATGGAAACTGATGAAAAGCTGATTTTGGCAATATTACTAAATTGGACCCTGATTTTAATTATAAATTACATAACAAGAAATGGCATATCCACTACAGACTTCAAAGTCATGTAAAGCTTGTCTGCTTTAAGCACTGTTAAGTACCCACTTCTCTACAGTAAGCAGAATCCACTCCAGTCTTTAGCTCTCAGGTTGAGATAGCTTGTTCTTGCAGCGACCTGTTTAATCAGCCCAGAAGACTCCTTTGGCTCAGTTTCCTACAGTTTCAACAAACCCTATTTCAAGGGAAACTTTTCCAAAAGATTTGAACTGGCTTTTAAAATTAATTTGATCCTTGTGTCAACTGTTAGCAGTGTGCCAGCAAATTATCTGGGAACATTTACTTAGGATTCATAAATATAAGAAAATTGTTGGTACAGCCACTATTCTGCCTGCCTTGAAATACTAAGATGCTGTAACACTTTGATTTGAAACACTGTAACCTGCAGGAGAAAACCTTGACATGAGGATAGAAAATTCAGGCTTAAAACACGAGATATCGTGGTCATGAAATTACTTGGCAGACTGGCAGAATGTGTTAACGATTTCAGTGGCTAAAATGATGGAAACAACAGTCTGGGTTTGAGAAGTATGGAAAATAGAAGTCCTCAACAGCCCACCTAACAATGCTGCTTTGTCTGATTTTAATTAATCTGTCACTACAAACATGACCTAGTTACCACAGTACAAACGTCAGTTTGTAACAGGTTTTCCCCAGAGTCCTCCTTAACTAGCATTTGCCATTTACGTTTGCTCATTCAGTCATGAAGAGTAGTTAATTAGCTCCATCTACTGCTGCATGGAGTGAATTGTACCAACAGCTCCAGTTCTCCAGTAGCCTCTTCAGGTTGCGTTCGCAGAGGTGTTTTAGGCACTCTGCTGCACCACGCCACTGGCAAGAGCCGTTAGCAGAAAGCAGAGGGTTTACATCTTGCTGTTTCTTCTTCTGTCATCAGCTTTACTGTTACATAGGTTTTCTTTAATCTTTTTCGTTATTTCTTTTTGAACTGCAGGGTGACAATGGTGGGGTATCATTTTTTTAACACATTTTCCCATGTTAAAAGACATAACAGTTCCTTTAAAATAATTGGTACAAACAATGAAGAGACTGGCAAGGAAGGAAACAGAGCTATTTAAGTTACTGCTGCACTGATAATAAAGGCGGCTGTTGTGCTGAAAATGGGTACTCAGATCAACAGATGGATGCCCTTATCTTGTGCTTGCCATATGTGTTGACTGGAGTATTCAGATGGGGTATTTAGTTGTTTATGTTTTAAAATAAATGTTCTTGCCATCATTTAAAATGCCTTCTTAGTTTATGAGAGAGCTAATGGATGCCTGTTCTAAAATATCATCTTTCTTAGTATTTCCCTTTTGATATTTCAAATACTATCAAAACATCCTAACTAGCATCCCAGTAAGCAGGCTACATGAGATACTTACCTACAACACAGCAGAATCAGAGGAACTCATCAGATAACTGCCAAAGTGGAAAGGTAGCAAGGATTAATACCTTCAAATGTCTAAAATCTCCAAAATTTTTTGTTATTATATTTAAAGGAACAGGTCAGCAAAGGATTTTATTTTCATAATAGTTTTCCATTAAGAAAGACAATAATACCAAAGAGCTTATTAAGGTCAGAGAAGTTTTTCTAGTCTGCACAATGTTTAGACACCTGTGAGAAGGCTGCTAAAACCAAAAGACCAGACTTGCAGGTATTCCACAGAGGAAGGAAATTTATTCCTTGGGCTGGCTGCTGTCTTAAGATACATCAAAAGTAGTGCACCTCCTGCTAACAGCAAAGTAAATTACATGAAGGTGCATTATTAGTTTGTGCCACTACCCTGCTTCACCTACCTCGGGCCCCTAGTTGCACATCTGCCTCAAGTGGCCTCAAAATACAACAGGACATTTCTGAATTATGAGTCTAAGAAGATCTCTGATTAGAAAATATTAAAATCAAAGTAAGCAAAAGAAAGATAACTATCAACTAACAAATGATTGCAGAAAGTTCAAGGTGTTTCCCCTTTCCTGTTCACCAGGTATGAAAACAAAGCCACTTTCATTGCTGAGGCTAGCTTTTAGTGCCTCAGCCTCAATTTTGGCCCATGTTTTTAGCTCTGAAAGAGACTTTTCCATCTCTAATTTACCTCTGAGTTTTAGCCTTTAACACATTGTTCATGAATGCCACTTACTTAGAAGGGCCTTTCCAGCTAACTCCAAGGAATTTGATAGTTTCTGGGAACAGTTTTGTATGTTTGAATGGGATAATTTAAATGCTGTTCTTCATTCTTTGTACACCACACTGAAAATCTGTTCCCCTGTCCCCTGGAGGGAACATCTTTTACTTACACAAATTCATGTCAACCCAAGGTTTGTTTTTCAAATTAGTAATTAATGCAGAATTATGCAAAGCAGAATAAAAAATAATCTACTGTGCAGTCTATTCTTTCATGAAAACGTAGGGGGATTCTGTGTCTAACTCTGCTTTCAATTAGCACATCAGTGGGAAAACAGCCCCTGTTATCAGTTAATGCACTCTAAATAAAGCTGTCCAGACCTTCAACAGCTTTCTAAAAGAATATTTAAGGTGAATCTCCAAGTTAATTGGAAGCTACGAAACTCTAAATGCTTACTTTATGCTTGTAGTAAATGTAAATCCCAAGTTTAGTGTTAACACAACAGTTAACTTACAACATGTGGGTAACTATTTGAAAGGATTCAGAATTAATGTAAACTTCAAATTTAAGAAATTAAATACAGAGCTTTACCATATGCTTTCTGTGAATTTTATAGGAGTATGAACTGGAAAGAGGTCTCAAGAGTCCAGCTCCTCACTTCCAAGAAAAAAATCTCATAGAATCCATTCCTGAATAAAGCGTTTAAGGTTAAATCTGCAACAGCAGAATGTTAAATAAAAAATAGCAGATTTTTGCCTCATCCTTAACACAGGCAGTCTTGGTTTGATTTCTTGAATGCATTTGCTTTTCTATGAATGTCAGAAGAGCCACAAGGTACCAAAAGCCACTAGACTGTCCTTGAAGTCGCATTGCCTCAATAAGCTTTGCAAAAAGCATTACTGATAACACTAGAGAAATGTGCTTTCAGTACTCAATCTGTTTAGAAAATAAAAATACTGAGGGGATTTTATTGAGCTAATAATTGTTTACCAGTGTGCAATGATTTTTATGGATTTAGTTGTGAGCAGGGACAGATTTAACCCACGCTGGTATTTTGCACTTTCCTTCTTCTCATGTAATGGTGTTCTTCACAGGCAGCACACTGGTAGAAAGGTGTATCAAAGAATGACAATATTACAGGGGCTTTTTAATGCATTTCTGTGTGTGCAGTGTGTGAGATCATCATAAATGCCAAGGTACACAGCCTATAAAAGCACATATACACATTTATACATATATGTAACCCACATATCTATTATGGTCAGGAAAAATGTATAATAATAAGTGCTTCTAAATTTCCTGACTGCAGTTTAAGAAACAGGTCGCCGTATCAAGGACTTTTGTAATATCTATCAGTGAAGTAACCACTCAGAAAGACTGTTATGGTTTTTCATCAAGTGTAACCATTCTGTCATGTAGGTCATAATTTCTTCTGCATAAAACTTTCCCTTTTTTCATCAAGACTTATTGCATATCCAGGGTTTTCTTTTCAATTCAAGAAGTAAGATTTTTCATCTTTACATGAAATTTTTGGTGGCAAGTAACTCAAGAGGAATTTCCTCAGCTGAAAATTAAGCATATAAAATTTTGCCTCTGCATAATAGTTATCTAGGCAGTTGTGACTGAGTAGAGCACAAACATCAGGATAAATGTCCATATTCCATTAAGGACTGGCCAACACCTAAGTATGTCCCCAAGTGGGAAAAACACGTTTCTGGATCTAAACCTTTTGGCTCCAGCCCATTTCTATATTCTGCCCTGCACTTATTCAGAAAAGCCATTGATGCCTATGGGAGTTCTGTCTAAAGATGTAAGGAAGAGTCTCAACACATATTTGTGACCTTACAGAGATGAATATATTGTTTAGTTTGTGTTGGTAGCCCATGCCTTCAAAGCTCTTTCTTGATATGAAGCAAAAAGACTTTGATCTGCAATTACACATTTTCTTATATAAACTGGAAAATCTATGCATCATGGGCAAAGCTAGAAGGAACTGAATACTGAAAGCATAGCAGGAAAACAACACTACATTGTTTTTATTTTTAAATGTATTCAATGCAATTCAGAAACAAATGTAATATAACTCTTATTTTACAAAGTTGACCATTAAAATATTTAAAAAGGACTTACTGGCCTTTGATAGTTTAATATGGGACATGCATGCTAATAGGAAAGTCAGTTTTGGATGACAGTCATTTAACAGTGGAAAAGTGAGTTAACAAGAAACTTTGTAGAAATGCTTTAAAAGATGGCATGTCCTTTCATATCCCTTTATCCAAAAGCAGCTTCTTCATTCTTCTGCAACTTCCCCTCCCGCATCCACTTTCTAAACTTTAAACCAATTTTACACATTAAAATATTTAGAAATACAAATAATATACCCAATAAAATACATTAATTATGATGAATGATAATGGGAAAGAAAATCTGGCATAGTTGTCTATGTGGTAAGGATTTTTAACATGCAAGCAATCGAAGATACAGAAAAGTCTTTTCATTACTGACATTGGTGAAATACAGCCATTGTGTTTACTTCTCTCCCTTTTTCTGTTGATGCCAGTTTTGCTGCTCTTGTTTGAATCGATCTGGTTTGTATCATCAGGGGCACTGCAACTGTTAGTAACTGCTGCCAGAACTCCATTCTTCTCTTCTTCAGACTCTTCATCCTCATCCTGATAGGAAACAAAACAGCAGGTACTTAAGAGCATGTTTCATTGCCTATTTACTTTAGAGCTGCAGCAAATAATAGGATTTTTTCTTATAAGTCCTCCTGTAGCTCACTCCTTGATTTCAAGGACGAGGACCTACAGGCACCAGACAGCTCCTTCCAGCTTTCAAAGTTTCCATTTACAGGAAAAGCACTGACTTAAACACCATCTTACTTCAAAAGCTTTCATAGGACTGTTGAGCAAAGCTGGATTTGTTCAAATGTGACCCCTAAGCTTTACTTAAGACAGCAGCAAATCTGTGAAACGCACAACAATAAGCTGTCTTCCACTCAGGGAAAATACTGACAAAGGTCAGTGTCTAGAAAGTGGGTAAAGCAAAGCCCCAGTCTGGAGATGGAGAAGGTGTGGGGGCTGCCAGACCAGTTAGTCAAGCTGGTTGCACCCCAAATGAAGCACCACAGAATACAAGATACTTTCCTTCCGTGCAGTTGGCTACTCTATTCCTAGTGGTTTGTGATGAAAATCAAGCTATTTAAAAAAACCAAACACACACACACACACAAAAAAAGCACAAAAAGAAGAGGATCATAAAGAAGGACAATCCCCACAATGAATTCTATACTAAATAGCTCATACTACTTTCTTTCAAGTCCTGAAACCCATGCTTTAAGTTCAAAGTTATGCTAAGGTTAAGCACGTTTTCATGTGCTTCACTGCATCAAGACAGCTCTTTGGAGAATGTTGTATAAGCCTTCTGGTGGGTTTTGTTTCTTTGATTAGAAATGGCTTGGAGCCATGAAGTTCATGTATGAAATCTTCACCCTTTGAAGTCAGCGGGTTTTCTGTTACTGACTCAGAGGACACAGGATTAGACATCAGCTGCAGCTTCAGCTCTAAACACAAAGTTTCTTGAAAGTTCTGGGATATTTAGTTTGGTTTGGGATATTGCAGAGATACCAGCAGATCCAAGCTACAAAGATTGGCTCCAACTTTTTATCTAAACTAAACAAATTTATATAGTTGTAGGAGGCATCATTTTAATTCAGGCAGCTGTACACATAATTTTAGTTTTCTTCTCATGATTTTATTACCTTCCACATCAGTGAGTGGCATATAAGGAAGAAAAGGCTAAAAATTTATTTGTGAAATGTACAATGTAGAATGTGTTGCATCTGACCAATTTGCTTTTTCCATTGCATTGAAGGAATAGATTAGACAAGGACAAACTTTAGAAAAGTTAAGATGTATAGCCCTACATGTAGTCACACAAAACCTCATTTAGAAATATCCCAGCTATTAAAGTCAAAGCCACCTGAGTGATCTACATGCCAGTGCAGAATTGTTCTTCTGCCCAGGGTACTTGTAGATGGTACGGTTCTTGAGCCTTTCTTCATCTAAAATTAGTAACATCCTTGAAAAGTAAATTGGAGTCTGGGCAATGTCCTCAGACTGCTGTGAATCAGTGAAGAAGAACAGATGGAGCTAGAAAAGGAGATTATTACTGCTTTTCACTTTCAACTTGCCAAAAAAATCCAGTATATTTTATTTCAGAGAAAAATGTAGCTCAACACAACGTGTCATCCTAAAAATACACTGACTACAAAACCTTGCTCATCTTCCACCTAGCCTCCCGCAGCTACGTGAGAATTTTGAAACCAAAGGCCAGGATAAAAATCTGCCTATAAAGCATTAAGAGGATCAATCCATAAAATTCCAATCTGAACCTTAAACAATCCCCAGGGTAGTACTAAAACTCAAACCTGGAGTTTTACTTGGGGCGTAACTCTGTTATAAATACCTAGCTCTGCTGCTTCAAAAAGTTCACGCAGCTGAGGGAAGCACTGGGGGTGGCAGAGGAGCCTTTGTCAGCAGCGCCTGGCACTTGAAACAAGGCATCGAAGTGACAGCCTAATGAATGCAGTCGATGCTTCAGAAGTTAATAAAATAAAGAAACCTGTCAGAAAAATCCTGACTTTTCTTCCTCTGCTCTCATTTTTTAGAAAGGGAAAAAAAGGCAAAACAACATCTATACTTCAAAACTGGCAGGATTTGGGGCATTATTCAGCATAGGAGTCTATTTGTCTCTCAGGTAGGGCTGGCTAAAAGTTGTACAGAATTAGTTTTACTGCAGAGCATGAAAGGACATTGTGTACGTGCCATTTTTCTTTTCACACAACCACATGTGAACAATTCACAGGAGGCTGATGCTTTATTAGGCTGTTCTTAACTCCTTTCAGCTCCCCAAGAGGCAGTTATTACTTAAGCAGAAAATACCGTACATAGTACATATGTACTTGGCTTTGTTTGCAGTGTTACAAGGCAGGGCTTTCGCAGAACAGAGACGAGTTTACAGCAGAAGTGCTGTAGCACATTTTTTGAAAAGGAGAAAGCTAGTCTAGAGGAGAACCACAACTGCTAGTCTATAAAAACTACAGTCTTATAAACTGGGACCATCAAGGGATTTTTCCAGCTCACTGTGGAGAACTGAATGTGATGAAAGATTAAGTTGGTTTACATTATATTTAAAAAAAAAACAACAACTGTGTTGCAAGTGTTCAACTATGGTTTAATTTTAAATACCACACTAAGTTTTCTCTGGATTCCAGCTGTCAATGAGAAAATGGCAGCTGGCACTAAGGGCTCTGTTTGGACACAAAATCAGTAGCATCCAGGAAAGGTACTGTACATTACCTGAAAAGCACTCTAAATGGAACTTGCTGCTGTGGCTGCTGTTTATACTGAAGTCTTTGCTGATATCTACCAGCCAATAGAATTGAGGAAAGTTGTCACTTCCATTGAATAATAAAGATGCTCAAGATGATTAAAAATATTTCAGCTTAGAGTGTTGCACACCTGGAGCTTGTGCAGTGTGCAGAAAGACTGCACGATGTTCACACAGAAATGCCACATAGGTTGAACACTGCCCTTGTAACCTTGCTTTTAGTTTTCAAACTTTCCTCCTTTCTGAGCAAAAGGGAGATGTTTAGGTGAAAGACAGATGAAGACCAAGGAGAGTTTTTATGTTTTATAGCAGAGCACAATTCACACCTTTGTATAAAAGAGAAGAAACTCAGAATTTTGGAGAGGAAATCTCTCCATTTAGACAGTCTGTTATGCAGGCTGCCATGAATGGCACATTTTGCCTGACCTTCCTTGCAGCAGATGGTTTCTCTATTTTTGTCATTAGCTTTGAAGTTGTCTCTGTGGTTCCTGGTTCACGTGATGCGAGACGCCACAAGAGTACGGATATGATAAGCTCTTTCACCAGTTTATATTCCAAATGGGAAACCCTAAACGTTTCAAAAGAACACGATATGACAGTGCCCAGCTGCTTTAAAGAGCAAACCAGAAAGTAAACCAGTACAACTAATTCCTATACAAGGCAGAGGTTACATTTTCAATTCACCTCCTACATTTATTTACATAATTCTGAGTGCAAATTTTGTATCAGCTCTCATATGGGAATAACAATCTGGGAAGTGAGATTTCTAATTAACCTGTGTCCACAAGAGACTATGGTAATGAGGAGAACGCATTTCTGGTGATGATACTCATGCAGAAATTTGTTAAGTACCTGCTAGACAGTGACATGAGATTTTAGCTGCTACTTCTGTCCTTGCAATGTTTTGGTTTTTACGGTGAGAAATGAGAAATACAAGTCAGGTGTGGTCTCCATGGCACCCTGCTCAGTAAGCAGTGCTTGTCCTTGGCCACAGTAGGAAAAGGACATGACAGGCATTTTTCTTATTCTACGTAGTCTTGAGTTGGTCTAGGACCACCTGCCCCTTCCCTTATGTTTTTCTGTGGGCAAGAAGTGAGTTGGACTGGCTTGCTCACTCCTGATGCACAGCAAAAGACAGGAACATGCCTGAAGTGACAGACCATCCCTTTCAGTCATTAAGTCCATCACAAAACTGTACCTCCAGTCTTTCTTCCTTCTTCATTTTAGGGATGTACATCCACTTACTCCCCATCTTTCAAGTCATTAAGTTCCCATGTCTGCCCCATCTGCAAGCACAGGTACATGTTCCCCAGATGAAAGGGAATCTGACACAGGTAGGCAAAGGCAAGGGCAGTCACAAGTGCCCTTCACAGATCCAAAGATGCTTAATCATCCAAACATTGAAACACTATTTTCTTATCCAAAACTCCAATAAGCTTTTTTTTTCTGCTCTATGAGCAAAATGACAATCACTTACTTCACAAGATGGATATGCTCAGAGGGAATTGTCAGTGATGCTACCTTGCCAAGAAAAACTACTTTCAGGATTTCCACTCAAATCCTCATTCAAAATGAGCGTTTGCCCATTTGTAGACATTCCCCCATTAGATGTTGTCCTTTAAAAGCCACTGGGTGGCTCAGCTTTGTGGCTGTTTTCCAGTCCTTCTCCACACACCTAGATGTAATGACAGCTTTGAACACATTCCTGTGCATTTAGAGAATTTATCTCTCATCCAAACAGCCAAAATCCCATATTAATTGTTGAACTATCTAGCCATTAAAAAAACACACCTTGGCTGATCTTCATTGTTTTTAAGCTTCTCCACATGAACTCAATATCCTGTTTCTTGAGCCTACTGAGGAGCTTTGCTTAGGCATTTGTGATGCTCTGTTGTAGTTTGGCTTAAATGGTTACTAATCTTTCTTCTTCTGGCTGTTTATCCCTCCAGCACTCAACAAAACCTCTTCCTGCTTTTTTTGTGTTATTCTCACTTTCCGTGTTTTCCTTTTTTCTATTAATTCAGAAATATCATAAGCTGCTTAAAACTCTCTTTTCTATCTTCCATATTAGATTCAGTTCCACAATTAAAAGCTGCAAGACAATCAGCTTCCAACTTCGTTGTGATTTCTTTCTCACTGCTTATGAAAGCAGTGCTAAACACTGGAGATGGAAGATGTGACAAAGCTTCTTCATGAACCTGTCTTGATTATTTCAGCAAGATGACAACCATCAGACTCAAAAATACTTATGTTGATTTGATCCGTTTTTATTTTAAGCATATTTCACAGTATTTCAGAGTTGTGAGAAGCTCATTAGAGCTGAAATAATGGTGCAGAACAGAAAGTCTGAGCTGCAGCTGTTGAAAGAGAAGATGTAAGTAGAAGGCTATAGGGATCTCATACACCTAATACGTGAAGCTGTCTGCTAGTGAACTGACTCAAGTACCATGCATGTGCAGAAGGTTTCATAAATGGAATGTGATAAAATCTTTTCTTTTTTGCTGTACTGCAATAAGATCAAGTCACCAAGCTCAATCTAGTTTTTGAACTGTAAGTAAGTGTATGCCATTGGTGGGTAGAGGACAAGTGCCTATGATTTTTGTGATACATCTAGCACATTGTTTGATGAATGGCTATAAAGTCCATGCCAAAAGAGAGGATCATTATGGAAGGGTGTTTCAGTTTGTTTGATCTCTTCCAGAAAGTTCCAAGTATGCCAATCATTTTTCTTTTTCTCAAGGTTATTCTGTTTTCACTGTCCTTATTCTAAAATAGAAACTTCCTGTAATACATTTACGGTTAGTGCTAAGATAATTTTTTCTCTTTAGCAGGTATAATTGAAGTCTGTTTTGTAGGACAACAATCAAAGAATTAAAATACCTTTGGAAGTTCCTTTGAACTGAGTCGATGCAGAGTGCAGAAGTGAGCCACTGCATACTCTAACAGTGCTCCAAAGATGAAACTGAAGCAGATACCGAGGTACACATCAATTGCCTTAATAAAGCAATTAGCATTTGGGAGTGAAGTCCTGGCTCCCATCATCAGTGTTGTCATAGTGAGAACTGTGGTAACACCTGTGGAAAGCAAAAAATTAAGTTCTGATAAAACATGGATAGCAATGAGGGCCTCTACCGCAAGAGTCCTGCTACAAGACAGTTTTTCCTGGCTCTGTGAAATCCTCATATGCCAGAGCATTTAATGTGTTGTGTTTTGGAAAGACGACTTTCAAACGAACTTGTGATTCTGCAGTTAAATACTTAAAAACACTCATGAAAAAATGTCTGTAAAATTGAGAAGACTGGAAATTAAAATGAGAGACATTTTGGTGTCATGGAATGTATATTTATGATTAACACGTTATTATTGCAATACTATGCAAATGATCCCTTTAAAACATTCAGATATCATTTTGCTCAGTGCAGTTGCCCACTGGCCTCATTTGATGTGAAATCGTTCTTTCTTCCCTATTTTGTATGAGTATTTTTCCCACCCCACCTGCAGTCTGATCAGAACTGATTTGCATTCTTTCCCTTTCAGAATATCCTTTATTTGAAATTAATTATATTTAATCTCTTAAAATTCTATTATTCATGTGTTAATTAGTATGTATCATTAGACCTCACAAAAGCCTCACAATTCTGCCTGTGCATGCCGTGTGTTTGGATATGTTGAAATTATTTCCAAAGTAACTGAGATTTTTCCTTTACTTTCACCAGCCTCCCCTGCCTCCAAGTCTCCTGTAGCTCCCAAAGGTGTTTTCTTCGTTAAAGAATAGCAAGGCTTTAAGGGGAATCTGCACGATGTACTGTGGATGCCAACCCAGAAAAGTAATTCCATAAAACTCAGAAGTCCTTGCAACTTTTGGAAATGGATGCCACGTACATGCAATAACTCTTGGTTTGGTTTGGTTTATCAGCTTCTCACCTATGCAGATTCTGGCTGGAACTGATGATTGGCTTATCCAAAACGATACCCAGGAGAGCACAACCAGTAGGATTGACGGTACATAAGTCTCTAGTATGAAATACAAGATGTTTCTCTTGAGTTCAAAGTGAAACACCAGTTTTGGGTAACGTCCTGCGGAAAGAGCAGGAAAAAAATTATTGTGAAGTTACTATTCATAAAAAGTTTGTTAAGTTATCAACCTTTATTACTTTTGTGCATTACGATGCAGCAAAACCTTAACAAACAAGCTTGGAAAAAAATTAAACACAGTGCTGAAAAATTCTATCATGAGGACTCTAAATTGAACTGAAGGGGAAAAAATCAAAACATGTAACACCCAATCACCATATCCAGAGTTTCATTAAAGATACCTTGAATTGGAAATTCACTGAGGATTAGTGAAGGAAAAAATAAATCCATCAATGTGTGAAAAGGATGTTTCATTATATAACACAAGGCAAGGAAATTTGAAATCACATATGTATTTAACTGTGGCTATTCATAAGAATGAATGAACCACTATATAAACTAGCATAATAACAATTGTAATTTCATGAAGTTAGCATGGGACCTTACCTTTAACTGCCTCACATATCTGGTTTATTTTGTTTTGCTTTTCATTTGCTATTGCTCAAGATGTGGCTCAAAGGTACCTTCTCTGATACTGCTGATCAACCTCTCATATTCCACTTAGAAACAAGCAATATATTTGCATCTTCACTGTCTATTTTTTCTTTACATTAGTGCATTACCGTGTTTGTGTTGTTCTGAGCAGTGTCACTGTTGTGGCACAAATGGTTTGCTTCTAAGCGAGTGATTTCCAGAAGAGGAAAGTTTGGGGTCACAGAGTCAAATACAGAATTGTGTTTCATAAGGGGACAGCACACTGGTAAGCAAAGCCTGAATTTGTTATCCAGCTCACTAACTGAGCAAAATTTGGCTATGCTTGGGCAACAGCAGCGCAGGATTTGAAATTGTTGCCAGTCCGACAGATCACAGTAAGGCAAAAATGTGCCTTTTACTAACTTAAATGTGCAGAAAAGTCATCTTAGTCTGAAGTTCCAAGTTCAAAATTAAGCGTTAAACTGTTTAACATTATTTTAACAACATTTGCACCACAATATCAGTGAGAAAGTAATGCTTGAATATACTGTGGTCAGATATTTTTGGCTTAATCCATTTTAATCCAACAAATTATGACCTCCAGGACCTATGTTTGTTTCCAATGCTGCGTGCTGTGAGTCAAGACAGATCTACAGAATAGTGAATGCACATTAGCAACACTATATGCACAGATAGGCTATTTGTGCATCCCTCGGGTGTGCTGTGAGACATTGAGTCAAAGAAAAGTACTTTTAAAAGCTTGAAGTGCAAGTAATAGATACTAAGAAACGTCTTATTGCTCCCAGGCTAGCAAACAGATGGTTAAATTTCAATTTTTAAAAGTATTGTATAAATTGCATCGAGAGAACAATAAGGTTTCACAGAATTCTTAAAACCGGAAAGAATTGCTAGATTATGTAGTCTGACCCTAATCACAAACCATTAAATACCCCTTGCTGTGAACTCCATCACTTTGGTTGGAATAGAGTCCACCTTTCACACAGACATCTACACTTTATCTGAGGATATCTAGACATACAGCATCCACCATTTCTCTCAGTAAACCATTCAATCTGGTAAAAATGAATGCCTAAATTCTAATCTTAATCTCACTTCAGTTTTCTGCCCTATTGACTCTACTTTTTCACTATTGGACTAAATAGTCCTTTGGTAGTCAGTTCTTTCTTCTTCTGAAGGTACAAATACACTGCATTTAGGGTTCTTCTTTGTAAATTCAACATATTGAGTTCAAGTTTCTCTCTGATAGAAAAAAGGATACAAAGACTGACAGTAGACTTTAACTATCTCCATGAGGCAGGATGTACAAAGGTGATTTATACCTTTATCATCATTTTTATGTGAAAAAAGGAACATTACACTAGTGTACCTCTACCAATACTGTGATTTTTCCTAATACAGTTGTTTCAGTAAAAGTTATTTTGCCCACCAAAATTGATTTGAAGTGTAAGCAGACCAAAGTAAAACACTCAAAAGTTAGAAAGTGAAAAACTTATAATTGACTGTGCAACATTACTTCTGCTTCTGTCTGCACTCATCCTTGCACTAAATCAAGCACTAGTGCTATGGAAAAACACTGAGTCTGTATGATAAAAGACTATAGCATAAAGCTTATTTAGGGAAAG